CGAGGGCGGTGGCGACGGCGGCCCCCAGCACGCATGCGCTCGCGCGCAGCTCGCGACTTTCCTCCTCCCCACCACCACCCCCAACAGTCCTTCCCGCGCCGGCCGTTGGAGCGGGATCCCGCCGCCCGGCCCAGCCCCTCACAACCGCCGGGGGCGGGGAGAAGCGGCTCACACAATTCGGGCTGAGTTTCGGGGGTTCCGATGGGCGGGTAGAGGAAGGGCGCCGGTGGCTCGGCGGTATGGGCCGCTGAGGGAACTACCGCTCCCGGCGTGCCGTGCGGCGGGCGGGCGCGGGATGTGCCGGGAGTTGTAGTCTGTGAGGGGAGGTGGCCTCCCCGCGAGGCTCAAGGGGCTGAGGGGAAGCGCGGCCCTCATGGCCTGCGGAGGGGTTTTGGCGGCCTTTCTCTCGAAGCTGCAGGAGGAAGGGCGGAACCTGCGGGCAATTGGGAAAGGAAGAGGGGCAAATGGGACAAATAGTCTCAAATGCCCCATAGCCACATTTGAGGGCGGCTGTGGCTTGCTTCTGGGCTGCTGCCGGGTGAGGCTTGAGGCGTGGGAGCCGGCTCCTGGCTGCCATCAGGTACCCGCGTCCGGACGGCTGTGGCCTGACCTAAAGGCGGCTCTGCCAGCCTGCAGCCAGGCACCGAGGTGGATGGGCCTGGCTCTTGGACAGGCCTGGAAAACAGCCAAAAACTCCTCGCGTAGGAACAATGTCGTTGGGTGAAGGCTTAGGGATATTGACAGGGAATCAATGTTTAGAGAGATTGAGCTTTTGCGAAAGCTGAATGAGAAATAAGAGCCATTGTTTATCTGTACGCAGAAACACGGGGTATTTGCCATCCTTCTCACTCGCACATTTTGTCAAACACAGTGTTTTCACGGTAGGCCTTTTCATGAATACCATGCTTTTCAAGCGGATGGTGCATCTTGGGATATTTGAATACACTGGTGACAACCAAACAAGGAAAAACTACTAGACAGCCAAATCCTTCTAAACCTTGATGATTCACACATCCTAAATCTACTTCTGAAGAATCTGGCTGTAAGATGGACAAGTTTTTATTCATGTGATGTTGGAATACAGGTGATGGAAATGGAGATTAATACATTTATTTTTCCTCTCTTGCAATCTGGTGTAGGTGTGCTAAGAACATGTATAGGCACATAATAACCCTTTTGAAAAATATATCCTGATAATAAATACATTGAAATTATTTAAATGCTTTACCTTCAAAATCAGCTTAATAGTAAGATTTGTGATCACGTGATTTCTTTGGTGAATATCTGTACCTCAGCCCCAACTACAAAGGAAGGGTTTTGAGGTCATTCACCAGGGGAGATCCGATCAGTAATTTAGATTCAGGTTCTGCTTTGGCTCTAGCAGAGCCTTTACTCTCCATTTTGACTGCCTGCTTTTCCTCCAGGCCTGCCACTGTCACACCTGCCTCCTTCAGCACTTTTCTCATGCCCCTCTTGCCAACAACAAATGGTCATGTGACTTTTAATACCATCAGTGACAGAAGAAAAAAGTGAGAAGTGCTGTGGAAAAGTACTTTAGAGCAGTTTTACTTGATTGGAGTTGGCTTCAGTAAGGTGGAGTTATGTGGCGTATGTGTGAAAATGTTGCTTAGAGGACTGCAACTATTCTGGCTGCAGTTTTCCTGCTACAGACTTATTTTATGATGTGCATAAAACAACCTCTTAAATTACATTTTGTATTTACAGTGCAATATTTAAAGTTACTGTCTGGTGGTCTGCTGGGCTTTGTTAGCAAAACCACTCTGTTTATGCATTCCTACCTTTGGGATCTGGAAGATAAACTGGAAGACAGAGGGGTTCTTGTCCTAGTATATTTTTTTCTTCTTCTGTTAATGTGGACACTTAGTGTATTACCTCCATTCTTTCTCTGTTTCTGTTCATGAATCCACCAGAGATTCAGCCACAGTGTACACTTCTCAGAAATTATAATTCAGCTTCAGAATTACCTGGTGATTATGCACCAGAAGAACTGGGTCTCGGCTTGCAAAGAATCAAGAAATGGGGAGCTTCCGCAAAATACTAAATGCCACAAAATGTTCCGTCTTTTGTCCTTTTAATGGAGTTAAAAAATACCATTATAGAGTACCAATTCAAAATAAGCTTCCTCTATGCAGGTCTAGAAGATGGAAATAACTCTGTTTTCTAATTCTTTTATACATGTCTTGTTAATCCTTATCATCAGCATATCGAGATGCAGTGAGTGAAGACAGGGCATAGCCTTAAGTAGTCTGTGGTTCATAGGGGGAGCACCACAGCATCACTGAGGCTGGAGGGGACCAGGAGGGCCACAGTTCAATTTCCAACTCAAAGCAAGGTCAAAGCTGAATTCAGGCCAGGTCACTCAGGCCTTTGTTCTGTGGGGTCATTAAAATCTCCAAGGACAGAGATTTCACAGCCTCCCCAGGGCAGCCCAGCTCAGTGCTTACCTGTCCAGCTTCAATCGGCTCATTTTGTGTTATAGTAATGGCAAAGCTAGTACATAAACATTGAGTGGGTGGATTAATGGTAATTATGTATGAACATGTTTTTTTAATGTAGTCTTTGTTGTTGTTTGAAGACATTGAGAATCTTAATAATGCATTAATCTGTTTTGTTGCGTTTAGTATCATTTCTGATCTAATGCTTTTATTTCATCCAGACTTATGTCATTTTTTTATACTAAACAACACCTGTGCTGTTGATCAGCAATATCTGGCAACCTTGTCCAACATCTGATTCATTTCATTTTAACACTTCGCGGCACAGTTGAGGAATGAAATCTTCGATCTCTTGCAGTCAATAGAAATCCTCTCATTGCTTTTGGTGAGATCATGGTGTCGTTCCAAAAGTGTCTTCAGTATATTCATCACTGCTTGCAAAAGGATAACATTTGCTTAATCTGAGGTCAACATTTGTCCTGCGTGTTGGTAGATCTTAATGTTTTTCACATTGTGAATTCAGTATCTTTGTTGTAATAGCTCAGTTTGGAGATGGATTGACATTTTTCAAAACTGTTTGCTATTAAATAAGCTCTTTCTATACCTGAAAACTAGCAAAGTAGATTTCAGTTTCGTAACAGCGTTTTCTGCTGTTTAGTATGCAGGTAGTTCATTCAGTCCCACCAATTCTGAACTTGAAAATGCCTTGCAATAAAACAATATCATGACCTTCTTTGCAATTTCTTGGTGTTATTAAGACTGTCAGAAAAAGCAACCAAGTGCTGCATTACTTGTCGTTTTAATGGGGAAATTCTAGAACTCAGTGAAGTATCTCATGCATCCTGCTCTGCTAAGTCAGTGAGTATTGCAAAATGCAAAGGTATAAAGGTGAGAGTATATTTTAATTTCTCTTTAAGGAAATACCTGGCCTTTTGGTGCTGCTGTTTATCTTCTGAAATATAAAACTGTTCATACAGCAGGCTCTAGTCATCATTTACTTGACTGCTAATGAGTTCCATATATAATCTTAGGCCCACTTGTTATATTGTAAATCAAAGGTAAAATTGGAGTCCACACTATTATTGAAGATTTATGGCATTATTCAAATATTGCCACAGACTGGAAAAGTAAATCTTAGCAGAGTATCTTCAAGTTTGTTCAACTACAGTGTATTTCTTTGCCTGGTGACATTACTATAAAAACGTGTGTTGTCTATTTAAGTAGAGAGAAACCAATAATACATAATAGCATTTTCATAAATAGCTATAGCATAAAATTTTACATACTTTTTCATATTTTGGACCCAGTTCTGTTCTGCTGAACACAAAAATGCCCGAGACCATTAAATTACATAGGAACAAGACAAAACTTGTATCTTGTCTTTGTGGTTTAAAGTAGCATTTAAAGAACAGAATGATTCCTGAGACAATTTCAAATGTGCTAAAAGCCATTAGTCCTTTGATAAAGGACAAAGTTAGTAAGGAAATGGATTTTTGACTACTGTTTTCAATAATTGGTTCTTAAAATTCATATACATTGCTGAGGGATGTAATGAAACAATTCAATATACAAAATATGGAATGTGTGCGTTGGTTCTTGTTTGCTGATGTTGCATTTCTAAAAATGCACAAACCCTTTGCTAAAAGATAGCCACAAATGAAGTGTGCATAAGTAAGTAAACAAATGTAAGTCTGTAGTTGAAACTTACCTCCAGAAGAGAAAAACTCTCTTCAATAACACTCTTAACTAATTCTGCAGAAACAGCATGATGATGCCCCGTGGTCATTGCATCTCTTTTCCAATCTGAAATTCTTGCAAACAACATCATGATCTTTCTCAGTCTCAGTTTGGAGAACTCATCTGGCAGCTGGGACTCAAATTTCACCTTTCATTTGCTCTGTTAATACACATAGCAGCTCTGCAATGCTAATTCTGCCCTCAGCATCTCCCGAGCAGAGGGAAAATTATATTTTCACATTATGCCTCAGTTCAGTTCTAATGGGTCACAAGGTGAATAGGAGCAAATAATGTCATATTGATGTGTCAAAGACAAGCTTTTCACTGAGTCTGTGCGTGACACGTGAAGTGCTTTCCCTCTACTAAGTGTTGATAAGATGTGACTGAAGTGCTGTGTCCAGTTCTGGGCACTCTCCTTCAGGAAAGAAGTGGGATAATTGAAGGGAGTCCAGGAGACAGGACCTGTAATGACTAAGGCCCAGAAAACAGATTAGAACATGAGAACAGAGTGAAAAAGGGGGGTTGTTTAGCCTGAGGAAAACAAGATTTACTCACACGTTCTCTAATAGTCTTCAAATACATGAAAAGCTGTTGGAAAGAGAAAGAAAATAGTCTGCTCTTGCTTAATTTGAATAGGACAGGAAGTAATGGGCGTAGACGGGAGCAAGAACTGATTCAGAGCAGATATGAAGAACTTTTTAAGAATAAGGATAATTAACAAAAAAAGATTGCGTGGAAGCATAATCCATGGAGTCCCAGTCACTGACCTTTAAGAACAGGTTAGACATCTGTTGGGAGATATAAATTTAGCTGATCCTGCCTTGAGATGTGACCTCTGAAGTCCTTTCCAGCCCTATGAATCTGTCATTGTGTGAATTCCAGCATGCTCAAAGGTTAAACAGATCATCCGCACTGGAAATGTCCATTCCCTAAAGTCTGAGCTACAGTCCATTAAAATCAGGGGGAATTTTTCCAGTGACTTTAATAAGCATTGGATCAGGCCCTAATTGAGTGTAATTTGGAGCTGCGTATGGAATTTGATCCACAATTCTGTTAATGGTATTTGCAAATGAGAAGAATTCAACTCCTTTTCCCAGGGTACATAGTTTGCAATGGTTACAAGAGAAAGTAAACACACGCTGAAGAAGCAGTGCTAGATTTGTCTTAGAAAATTGAGTAGAATTGACTGAATACAGACACAGGGAGAAGATCTCTGGGGAAAAATTAGCAACTTTTCTCAAGGAAGAACATTTTAGACAGCTATTTTTTATATCAATAAAGCAGGACAGAAAGAGACAGCAAAAACTATGTTAACAAAACTTTAAAAATAAATAGGTGTCATGAATGTGAGAATGAAATGTTTGTCTCTGCTGAAAGATTAAATTAGCTGGGAGCCTGAAAATGGGCAGAGCGAAAGAAGGGGAGACATGGAGAAATTCTGTCCATCCACTGGATTCCATCAGTTGCTTAGTGACTGGCAAGGAAAGATCCATTCCCCTGTAGTCTGTTAACAAATAACATAAAGATTTTCCTCCTCTCTGAATGATCAATTAAATCGCAAGCACTTATGCCAGCTAAAGCTCTGCCTCTGCAACTGCACGTGTTTATGCAATCCGGAGGAATACTAATGTGCATAAAGTTAAGAGTTCGCAGGTTTGCAAAATCCCAGCTCCTGTGGGCATCCGCAGCTGCTCTGCTTTCCTGGGTTGTGTGCGTCTCCTGGAAATTCTTTCTCTGTTACCCTTCTGTTGTGGCAGGAAACAGGCAAGCGCTCAAAATTCTCCTCTAGCAGATGCAGGAAGCTAAGGTTACTAATGGGTGGCTAATACACACATGAAAAGATCTTTGCTTTTGATCACTTCATTATCTCTAGGAGTAAGGACACAAGGTTTCTAGAATCATCTCCCCACCCCAGTCTGTTTGTGGCAGACGTGTTCTGTGCCTGCACATAAGCTTGAACACTCTACCTGAGAGATCATTTATTAAATATTTATTTACTTTGCGTTCTGGGAAGAAAAAAAAAAAAAAAGTCTGCATAATATTATTGATGGAATGTTTGACTGCCAAATGCTGAATTATTTAGAGCTTAATTGTACAAATGATACCCATGAGGACCTGTTAGATTGCAATATGCAATTGATACAGCAGGCAAAACCAGGGACATGTCTCTCAGACTTTATTCTGGTAATTCAGTGGGTCACCTTAAAACAGGTATGAGCACTTTGCAGAGGCAATGCTGGGAGACCTGACAGCATCTTTGAAGTTGCAAGGGGGGAAAAAGGCCTGCAGAAAGCCCCATGTAGCAAAAGATTCCCTGGCCTGGATTACCCTATGTGGGACCTTTCTACTCCCAGCCCCTTCTGCCCTTCAGGAGGTCCCACCTTATGCTATGGGTGCTGCAACCCCGTGCATGGCTCTTCGCCTACAACTGTGCATATTCACCATTTTCCTCGCCCACGATCAAGTACTCACAAGGAAAGTGAGGAGAGTGCACCCACTCACCCACTACTTGGGTTCTGTGCCTACCATACCTGTTGCAGATAGCTACATAAATAGATGTTTCACTGTTAAATTCATAGTTAAATGCTTGTAAATATTTTGTGAGCATGCCTTTTAATATGGACTTTTAACTGTGCAATCACTATTTTAATTCCACAGGTTTCCTGGCTTCAGTTCTGCTTTTCAGAGGGAAACACACATTGAGACCCTTCAGCTCCCATGCCATCACCCCAAAACTACTTCACTCCTATTTTGGTGCGTTGTTTTTTTTTTCCTTCCCTCTGTCCTAATCCACATTGCTCCTGTCCTTTTCTTCCTGCTGGCTAGCCAACAGCAGTCTTCCCCTCCTTTCACCTTCAAATGAAGCAGGTGTGTTTTCTCCTCCTTTGTCCCTAGTATGAAAAAAACCCAATTTAATAGAAATTAATAGCAACTTAATAGAAAACCAGAGTCAGCCACTGCAAACCTGGAATGTGATTTTTTTCCTCTGCCTGGCCATTCCTTGCATTTTTTCCTTTCCCAAGTAAGGCAAATAATAGAAATGAGGAAAATGGGAATCTATAATGAATTAGAGAGTAGCTTCTATTCATCCACCACCCTCCCTCTCTGGGCCAGTACCAGAGGGTGCAGAGTCCCACCATAGACAGACAGAGGATAGTGTCTTTCCCACATTGAGACTCATCCTACTTTTAAATACTGGCTTAAGGCTTAAGATCTGAAGCACCACGTTAAATACCCTTATGTCGCTTTGTTCTCTTTCTTCTTTCCTTTGCAGCAATTTTGGTGTCATTAGCAAAGTTATCAGTAAAGAGTTTATGTTTTCTTCCAGATCACTGATAAAGACATTGAACTGCGTTAGCTCCTTTGAAGCCATTAAATAACCCATTAGAAGAGAGTAGAAACATGTTGGTGTAGCTGCTAATTGGTTCGCAGAGCATTTGATACAGGTAAATTGATTTTGTATAGTACTGGGGTTTTTTACCAGATTGTCATGCAGGGCTACATCAAATGACTTAAAGTAATCCATGGGTATGAAGTCAATACATCTACCTTAAGCAACTGCATTTTAATCTCGTCTTGTTGCTTGAATGCACCTATTTTCCATTAAAAACATATTGATTAGCATTACATAAGCTACCTCCTGTGAATTAATTTCTATTTGTTTCCTATATCTGTCTTCATTAGTATTTTGCCCAGGGTCTGTGTAATGTTTGTAATTATCTGAACCCATCACATTTTTTCTTTACAGTGCCACGTTCACTTTTTACCAGTGGTCTGAAATTTCCCCTGTGCACCAGTATTTGTTCAGAATGAATATGAATGGCTCCAAGAGTACCTCCACCAATTTTTGTCATACTCTCGGGAGCATTCAGCCCTGAAGATTTAAATGTGTTTTGCTTTCACTGATGAACATTCTCTCACACATACAGTGAAAGGAAAAGAATTTCGTATCACTTCATTATTGTAACAGAAAAAATTGAGCTTTTCAAAGTAGCTTAGGAAAAACTGTGCTTTCTTATCCAGAAACTAGTTCCCAGGTGAATTCAGTTTCACATAAAAGGCAAAGAAGAAATCATTGCATTTTGCTCGTTAGCTATTCGGAGACAACACAATTGTGAGAGAAACAGTTGTTTAACTGAGCTGGATTTTGGCATATGAATCAGTAACAACACTTTTAACCAAGCTAAAATATTGGATGTTCAATCTTAGGGACGGCTAAGCCAAAAAGATCCCTCTTTAGGCCATTTCTACATTCTAAGTTGAGTTTCCAAGTCTGGCATGTAATCTTCAGCAAATCTTAGGAAGCTTGGTCTGGATAGCTTGGATGGACAGCAAAGCAAGGAACTGCACGATTACATTTTTACCAAGTCACTTCTTAAACCTGAGAATTAGGCTCTTCCTTAAAAAACTGTCATGCATTTGGGAAAGTTTGTGTATTCCAGTGACACCAACTGTGGTATTCCTTCACAACTTTTTCCTTTCTATTTAATGAAAAGGGAAATGAGCTTTTAAATCTTATGTTTGTCTCTTGGAGATCCTACTGGATAGAGGTTTCTGAACGACTCTTTTGGGCCACTAACTCAATTTTAACAGATTTCAGTAACAACTCAACAACTCGCTATAAAAGACTGGACAGAATGGGAGGACATTCTGGCCACATTATGATTGACCTCACTTCAGATTGTTTCAACTTGGGTGACGTGGCACGTTAGGATGGCATGCCAGGATCCATCCTCACACGGCCTCTATCCAGAGAGGATGGATACACGAATTAGAGGAATTTAGCCTGGTAGGAGAAGGTTGACAATTTATACTCTGTCATAATCAGTCAAAATCTCACTCACCATAGACCAGCTCTGAGTACAAAAGACGTAGGTAAATGACAACTGTGACATTATAGTAATCGTTCTGTTTAGAATTGCAGAAGACTGTAAAAATTCGATAGAGAATTTTTCCATCACCTCATCACAGGCTTTTTGTGACATGGTTGTGTATAAAATCAGATGGGCCACCTAGCTTCAAACACAGCTTGCTTACATTTCCAGCATGACCTGAAGATGCCAAAAGAAAAGCACAAGTTCCCAAACTGTAATTTCCTGCCTGTGGCTACCTGGCTTAAAATATACTTTGAAATTATCTAACACCCAGGATGTAGTTATGCTTCCTGCTGCATGGAAGGAAAATTTCCAATGCTGGTTGAAAAAGGCAGGGAACACGTCTTTCCTCAATTGTCTCGAGGAACGGGGACCTCTCATAGGAGTTCTGGCACCATTTCACACACAAAAAACCCCCTAACTTTCTTCAAAAGCAGACTTGTCAGGAGGCAGCCTCAATAACTTCAGGCTCTCTTGCACTACCAGAGACATGGGCTGAGTCATCTTGCCAAAGAGCTAAGTGACCACTTTCCCAGTGCTTTGAAACGGTAGCTCCCAGGCATCCTCACCTCGCTCTCACTGATGGGATGCGAAACAGGCTTCTCAGAGGGAGGCTCTCCTTCTAATCTGGTAGTTGCTTCAGGCCCTGTAATTTTTTAAACCATGTCTATCACACAAGGAAGGGTGCAATTTTCTGCCGTGGCATGTATCTTTCACTGGCGTGTGATTCGCAGTGAGATGAGGCGAGGTGTCTGAAAGACATGCCCGCTGACAGTGATGGCTTGATGACTCAAATCTTGTGGATTTTCTAAGGCATCAGTTTCCTCCTGGGAAAAATAAAATAAAAATCCCTCCATTTTATCTTTCGGTGATGGATGTTGTGTTATTGTAAAGCCTTTATGCTCCCAGCAGCAAGTACTTAAGTACATACTACATGCTGGGGTTAAATCAGTCAATGCAAATCTACTTGGATACATTTATCACCACCTCATCCTGTCTTCCTTAGCCTTCTCTGTGAACAATTTGCCCCTTTTGTGGAAAACTACCCACCATTCCAAGACATTGTTCAAGCTTCATGAAAAGCTAAAGCATGCAGGCAGGGTGGCTGCGTAAGCGCATTGGAATGTATTTGCCAAAGCCCTTTGTCCAGGGCTCCAAATCAGTAACCGCTGTGTCACTGACTGTGTGAAGGGGTATCATCTTTTATTCAGTGGACTTTGTACTATGTAAATTGAGGCATACCCACAAGTAAAGATATGGTATCATTTTTTTACAGGTGGAGTCAAGGCACCTGATGCACTCTTAATCTTGTATTTGTTTATGCTCATTTATTAGCTAGGGTTCTAAAGTAACAATGGTGTTAACGTGGCTGTGCCATGAAATGCATGTCTATGCACTTTGACCATTTATAATGTGATATCCTTTTTACCCCAAATCTATTTCAGACGTTGCTTTTGTTCCTTCTCTGTCACTTCAGTGGGGCTGTGACACACCACGAAGAGTACCTTCCAGAGTAGGACATCATCATGTTGTTTGTCTCTTCAGTTCTAAGCATTATTTTCCCTCCTCCTAATTTCATAATCAACGTGACATTCTGGCCTGGTTCTCATTTCAAGAAATCTATTTCCCCTCCAGAAATTTCACCTCCTAAAAATATTAAAAAATTTTTAAAAAAAGAAAAAAAAAAAAAAAGAAAAAAAAGACTGTGGTGAAAAACTTACCAAAAAACCCCCAACAAAACGTTTCCTTTTCCGGTATCTGTCACGAGGAAACAAGTTTATCTGTTGAGAGCCTCTTTTCCTAGATCATTAGGAGGTCATATTTCCAGCATATCTCAAAAGCCTCCTTTGTATTCAAAACTGCCAAGAAACTGAGTCACCTCCATTAGAAATGTCGCCGGGACTAAGACTTCTGTCCCCTCCTCACTGAGACTATGGGGAGAACCATCCCGCTGCTAAAGGCTGTGCTGTAGGAGGGGAGCTGGTTTGGTGCCAACAGGCGGTTCAGGTTGCCACCTTGAAAGCAAATTTTCCCTGAGAACCAAGAATGACCTACAGAGTGTGGTGAAACGCAGGGGACAAATGGTATGTCTAAAAGGAATGGTGCCAGGAAAGCTATTTCATTCTCTTTTGGGTTCCCGACAGTCTCAAGAAACAGCACAGAAGATTTAAGTCCTTATTTTGAACATCCTTCTTTCTGAGGGCTCTTATTAGATTCCTACTACACATTTTATGCTTTTTTTGGTAAATATCTACGTTGCAAAATTGTTCCGTGTGATGAGTGATGAACAGAGACGGGAACTTGGATATTTCGTAGTGGTTCTAGGCTTGCTGATGACTTGGTTCTTTGCAGAGCTAGAATGTTGGAAAGAGATTTTGAAATGCACTGTGTCACCCAGGTTGCATCCATTGCTCTTTCTTGCTAAACCACTGTGAAAACTCCCGACATATATTTGCCAGAAAAAGCAGCCAGATTCTATGAAGATGACAGGAAGCAGGGATTTCTTTTATAAAGTGCTTAACCTACATTTCAACCCTATTAAACAAGCAAAGAGAAACTTACTCTCCTCTTACTCTTTTTTTATTTAAGTTACTATCATCAGTGCTATCGCTTGTCCCCCAAGTTGTGTTATACTGACAAAGAGGAAGGAATGTGATGTTCATTTTCCTCAAGGGCATCTCTTAGCCATGTAAGCTGACTTCTTTATTGATTGGTACTTGTCAATAAGTAATCAGAAGCCTAGGGATTGTCTCTCACTCAGTCCATCCCAGATCATTTCCCCAGAGTAATCTACCTGCTGTAGGGCAACAGGGATGTAGTTGTTGGATATTTATTTTCTTATTTAAACACGTAGTTTACTGTGGTGGAGGGAACAGGAATGACAGTGACTGGGTAAAATAAACGTGAATTAGATGGACTTCAGGGGAAATGCATTTTTGTTTTCTAAATTTCCCAAAGTGTGGTAATCAGAAGGGTTAAGTGTTTCATCATAAAAAAGGTGTGTCTCAAAGAACTTTTGACAGAAGATGGGAAAGATAAAGCTCGGGTTCTCAGGGAGATTTTGAGAAAACAAGGTCGGTGCTTTCCAAAGAAAGCTTTTAAAAAAAAAAAATACTTCAAGGAGTCTCAAGGATAAAAAATGATTTCTGGCTGCAGTAATTTAACAACCAGAAAATAGAAATCCTTCCCAAGCTGACAAATGTTTAATACCTAACCAAAAGCCTCAAAATTCTCTTTCACTCTAGTGCTAGACTTTTCTGCACTGAATAATGACATCTTATTAAAAACTTGTTAACTGGTGTGACACTAAATGCAAGTTTGTACAGGTCTCTTACACTTCAAGTTCTGCCAGTGTACCATCTTCGGTTTTCACAACTGTGTTACACAACTATTTCAGTAACACTTCTGCACTGTATCTATTGAAAACACAGTGATTATGAATGCTAATATTATGAGCCTGTCCTCATTTTCCTACAAAATACACAGCCGTGATGAGTGATAATGCAAACTAATCTGCATCAAGACCCACTTGGTGGTATCAGAAATGCAGACATTTTGCAAAAAGGACTCTT